GCAGCCCGGGGCACTGCACAGGGCACGCGCTGGAATTGGGCACACGCCGCCTCGGGACGCGCCCGTATAGGGCAGCCCTGGCCGCCGCGCAGGGGTACACGGCCGATTACCCCTGCTGGGGCCAACCCGCCTCCTCCGCCCTCCCGGAAGTCCCTCCGCTTCCAGCTCCCTTTGCCCCATTCTGGTGGGGTGGGGAGGAGGGGTCTTGGGGAGGCGCTAAGGGAATGAACTGCAGGGGTTGATTATTAACCCATTCCCCCATCTTCCTGGTTTGGGGCTCCTTAGGGGCCATAAAGACCTTGCCTCTCCCTAGTCTTGAGAGCAGGAGGCTTGAGGTGACCTAATTTCCATTGCTTGTTCTGACTCTGGACTTGGAAAGGAAGGGATAATGGATCTTGATGAAAAATCAGAATGGGACAGTAGACAGAATTATATGGATGGTGCAGGCAAAGATGATACGAACAATTTTATGCCAATGAATTTTAAAATTTTAGTATGATGGTCAAATTCTTGGAAAACTGCATCTTTTGAACACTACATAAAAAGAAAAAGGAAAGAAAATTGACCTATAACTAGTAAATGAATTAGTAATAAAAAAAAAATCCAGACCCAGATGATTTTCAGCCTACCAAACATCCAAAGAGAAAGTAATCACAATTTCATACAAAGTAGTCTAGAGTATAGAAAAAAGGGGGGCTATCCCCCAATTCATTTATTAGGGTCACATAACCTAGATATAAAAATCTGACTATACAGAAAACAGGAAAGAAAATTATAATGGCTAATATAACTTATTCACAACTGAATCAAGAAAATTCTACCAATGAAATCGAATAAAAGCACTCCCAACAAGGAAAAAGGTCTGGACTGAATGGCTTCACAGATAAATTTTACCAAACACTTAAAGAAGAATTAACAGCTATCCTTCTCAAACTTTTTTTTTTTAAAAAAAGGAATGCTCCAAAGATCATTTTATGAGGTCATCATTACCCTGATTTCAAAGCCAGACAGACATTACAAAAAAAAAAAATTGTAGGCCAATATCCCTGATGAACATAGATGCAAAAATCCTCAACAAAATATTAGCATACTGAATTTAGTAATACATTTTTCTTTCTTTTTTTAATCCTCACCCGGGGATAGTTTTTCATTCATTTTTTTAGAGAGAGAGAGAAATATCAATGTGAGAGAAACAGAGGATTGGTTGCCACCTGCATGAGCCCTGACCAGGGCCCAGGCCATGGAGGAGCCTGCAACTGAAGTACCTGCCCTTGATTGGAATTAAAACCAGGACCCTTAGGTCCACAGGCCTACCCTCTATCCACTGAGCCAAACTGGCTAGGGTTCAGCAATACATTATTTTTTTTAAAATTATACACCAGGATCAAGGGGGATTTATTTCTGGAATGCAAGATTAGTTCAATATTAGTGATATGCCATATAAACAAAGTGAGGATAAAAATCATAAATCATATCAATAGGTGTAGAAAAAACATTTGACAAAATTCAGCATCTATTTATGATTTAAAAATCTCAGCAAAGTAGAAATAGAGAGACCATACCTTAACATAATAAAGGCCATATATGACAAAATGCTAACATCTTACTCCAGAAAAGCTAAAAGTGTTTTCCTTAAGATCAGCAACAAGATAAGGATGGCCATTTTGAT